AGCCTCGTGCGCCTCGATGCAACGAACCTATAGTGCCTTGGCTGCGGCGCCGGACGTGGCCCCAGGTCCCGTTTTCGCAGCCCACTTCGGCTTGGCTGTTATCTCCGCAGCGGCCACAGGACCGCCAACCATGGCATGACGCAGGCTCCCACTCTCTTGCCGCCCGACATACACAGCTCCAGAGATGCTCCCGGCAATCTGCTCCGCCACGCCTTTACCACCATCTAATTCAAGACCAAAACGAGCCTCCCCTGGTTGCACTTTCCCTGCCAAACGCTCCCTCTGAATCCCACAAAAAAAAACTTTTCTTTCATTTCTTGCGCCAATCCTGGCCCCGAACACCTGGTCCAAAACGAGCCTCGCGCGCCTCGATGCAACGAACCTATAGTGCCTTGGCTGCGGCGCCGGACGTGGCCCCAGGTCCCGTTTTCACAGCCCACTTCGGCTTGGCTGTTATCTCCGCAGCGGCCACAGGACCGCCGACCATGGCATGACGCAGGCTCCCACTCTCTTGCCGCCCGACATACACAGCTCCAAAAACCCCCTCCCCAGACGCCCGACACTCTCAACACTTCGTACCCTCAACACCACGCTTGTACCCTCCGATTCCGCCAGCGGGCCCGACACTCCCATCCACGGATCGCAAAAATACTTCTCAGAGCCTGTGTCCTTCCCAAATGTTCCCCTGAACCCTGTGTCCCTGTGTCCTGAACCCTGTGTCCCTGGAAAATGTTGGCGTGGACATCATCAACCTTACTGTTCCCTTGAACCCTGTGTTCCTGTGTCCTGCAACCCTATGTCCCTGGAAAATGTTGGCGTGGACATCATCAACCTTACTGTTCCCTTGAACCCTGTGTTCCTGTGTCCTGCAACCCTATGTCCCTGAAAATTGTTGGCGTGGACATCATCAACCATACTATTCCCTTGAACCCTGTGTTCCTGTGTCCTGAAACCCTATGTCCCTGGAAAATGTTGGCATGGACATCGTCAACCTTAATGTTCCCTTGAACCCTGTGTCCCTGGAAAGTTGTCCTTGGCACAGGCGGAGGGTAGGACACCCAGCAACTCCGTATTCCCTTACGCGCTCCCCCTTGCTTCAACCGGGGTCGGCGGATTACGAAGGCCAGCCGATAGGCAAGGCTTGAGCTTTTAGAGCGAAGTGAGTTAAGGGGTGTGGGGGTGGTCGCTGAGAACCCAGGGAGAGCTCCAAGGCGAGGTCCGAAAAGCAGTGAAAATGTGGTTTGGTGATGCGAGTGATGTAATGACACCGAGTAGTGCATCATTAGCATCATGAAGGTTTTTGGAGCCTATTTGGACAATGGGCATAGAGGACTCGAGTGGAGACGCGGGAGCTGAGCTGGCTTTCGTCCCCCCTTCTCAGGTATATATATATATATACACACTCGTAAAGTAGAGTCAGAGATGATGAGAGACGAGACATGTCCAGGCAATTGCTCTATTGCCTGCCATGTTGGGTCAGGACGTGTTGATCGTTGCTGGTAACTTGTGCGACACCAGGCTCGAGACCGCGCCAACAGCAGTACAGTTCAACTCCAGCCAACAGAATTCCAGCCAACACAAAGCCGTCGAATCAACGAACGTGCCTCTCTACATGAACAAGAGTTCAGCCTTCTAACAGGAACGCACTTGTGCGTGCGCTGACAACTCTAAAGGCTGGGGCTACTGATCTCAGTCTCTCAGTAGTAGTGTTGCAGCACTGAAAGGCTAAGTTCCGGCGTGTCTTCTACGTCCCTGGGAACCACGAATTGTGGCTCAATGCTACCGAGGTGCGACAGGGTGCAGCAATCCCACAGGTATACTACTTAAGGACTTACGGACCAGCTTCAGGGTAGATGTACGCCTACGATGATCATTGAAATTCGGGTTTACAGGTAACTGAAACTTATTTGGTTTCGGTTTTGCTGTTTATTCTGGAAGACGCTGATGCTGAACAAAGGTGCCGTTTGCTGTACAGCAACTTTGGGAGTGGGGTGAAAACAAGTATCTCCACGTAGACATGTTCTTTTATATAAACTAAGGATCGAAAGTATTTTCATACCATGTCCAAAGCTTCAAGAAAGAGTATGCAAGAAGGCCTAAGCTGCGCCTTGTTATTGTCAAGGCATCCAAGTACCCTGACTCCTTGGCCAAATTGCTGGGGATTATGGAAACTTGCGACGAGTGCAGAACCTAGCGCAGAACTAGCCTAAAGAAGTTTCATGAGTTTAACACTCTATGAATCCCTGAGCCAGGGAGCCGGCCAGAATTTAACCGAGGCTCGGGGTGGACTGTTTCCCCGCTGCTGTGAGTGAGGACTTGATGGAGTGGGAGCCAGCGGCTTCTCACTCTCAGCCCTACAGTGTTTGGAATCTAAAGTGCATTTGTTATGGAACGTCGTCACTTGATGCAGCCTTCAGCATGGAAAGCATTGTAGAATGGAAGCGTTGACATTGGATTGCATGATTGCAGGTAGCTGGTAACTGCAACATACAGAGCTTTTGCTTCGTACTATTTTTTGCTGTGCTGTTTGGCAGGACGTTTTTGTGGTTCCGCTCCTGTCATGGTACACTGCAGAGTTTGATGAGAAGGATTGGCCCTTGACTGGGTGTACAGCATGCGAAATGACTGGGATGCGCTCTCCGACACTACTTTCTTTTGTTTTGTTGTTGGCGGGGCATGGTCGTGACCCCAAACATTCACAGGTTCCTTCCTTCCCTTCCCCAAAAGAACAAAAATACCCAGCTGATCCCAGCTGCTTCTTTTCTGCTTTGTTGGTGTCTTGTGACCTCGTCGGCTCTTCATGAGCCCATCTGGGCCCTTACAGCAAAGGGCTGCAGCGCAAGTGACATGCTGCACATGACACAGAGCGAGTGCATGAACACTCCCCTGCCTTTGTCAGAAAAAGGCATCCTGATCCCGTTTCCCTCACACGAGTACTCCAGAAATGATCCCTTCTTCCAGCATGTGTGAGGCAAACCGTGAGAAGCTGTGCCTTCTCTTGACTGAATCCCTCTCTTTGACAGAGTGTTGGCGGTCAGCGCATGCTTGTATTGTATGGCCAGTCAGGCCCCGTGGCAGAGTGCTCAAACTCAATAACCCATCCATTGAGTCCATTCCACAACTGTTGTTGTAGCACGCAGCCAAGATGACATTTCCGGCCCATGTTGCCAGAAACTTCAGTGGTCTCTTCAACCACCCACGTTGGGTATGCCAGAATCTCTTGGGCGCAGCGGCCCGTGGCAAAAGCAACATCGGGCGTTGTACAAGTCGACAGCGGCGTTGAAGAGACTTCATACTTTCCAACAAACGGGACATCGCCGGCAGTCTTCACAGTCGCTGGGCTTGGACCGTTTTCCATCCTTTGGCCTGGAGTGGTTCCTTTCCGACCAAACCTCACACCCCCGACCATGCTCTATTAGGGACTGAGGAAGGGAAGCTGGTGTCTCATTCTTCCTTTCTCTTCCTCCTTTTGCAGCCCCCTCTTCATCCTGCATCCTCCTTTCATGCAGTTCCTGCTGCGACACGGTGTTCTCTGTCAACATGCGGACCTCTTGAAATTTTTGCCACCTCCACGACATGATCTCTTCCCCTTGGGCGTGCAGACGATCTTGACCCTCCAATTGATAGACCTCCAGAGAATCGTCTCATCTCATTCTCAGGCCCGTCGCATTCGTTCTGTCTCCAGTGAGTGGTTGGGGCGCTCTTGGTCTTTCCCTTTGCGAGGGTAGAGATCCACCAGGGCCACCTCCTGGCCGATGAGAAGTGAGCCTGACTTGCTACAAGTAGCTTCTGGTTACTAGTAGCGATGGCCCTACAAGCGATGCCTCCACCCTAAGAGACTTTCGCCTAGTAGCACTTCCTGAAGATCCTTCCTTCTGATCTCTCGAAGTGCGGCGGCGGCGCAACATCGAACGCTCGGGGGCCCTGGAAGATGAGGAATCCCCTTGCGCCGGGCTCATAACCGGTTGTTGGCGGGGCGTGGTCGTCGTGACCCCAAACATTCACAGGTTCCTTCCTTCCCTTCCCCAAAAGAACAAAAATACCCAGCTGATCCCAGCTGCTTCTTTTCTGCTTTGTTGGTGTCTTGTGACCTCGTCGGCTCTTCATGAGCCCATCTGGGCCCTTACAGCAAAGGGCTGCAGCGCAAGTGACATGCTGCGCATGACACAGAGCGAGTGCATCAACCACTTTCATTGTTTTTTGCCCGAAGTCTGTAAACCTTCTCCGCTTTTAATATCCGTCTCCATTTTTCTCAAAGCCAGAGCCAGTTTACAGCTCATCAACTTTTCGCAGCAACTGCGCATTCATGTTGGCTTGGATTAAGAAAGGTTGTTGCAGTTGCTGAGGTTAGACGAGCAGGGATAGACAAATGGTTGGCAAAGGCTTATCGAAATCACATATTATATAGGCAGACTGCAACTATTCCACAAGGATCCACAAGGTCAACATGTCAAAATATGTTAAGGGGTATGTACAGCAAAAATCGATCTGGACAACATAAACTTCTTGGATTGAACACGAAGAGCGTTTCCTTCTTGGTTTGCGTACCAGTGGAGAAATTTGCCAGGAAATTGGCGGCAGTGCCCCTAAGTCATGCAGTAGAAACTAGCAAAAAGGCCGCAACGCTGGAATTCCAAACAGCTGGAAGCTGGCGACTCGCATCCAACAGGTTCCCTAGGGTTTGTCAGTCCATTGACAAACTGATTGAGATGTTTTCCAGACCTTGGAAACACTAGGCAACGATTCAGCAAGCAGAGCATTGTACCTCGGCTGTGTTTGCAATTCCCGCCACATTGATTTTACATTTGCAAGGGATTGGAGCCGATTCTGTCGCTTTTTCAATGCAATCAATTCTGTTTTTTCAGTGGCTTGCCAGGACCCTTTCCCCGACCCAAACGCAAACTTTGATCATCAATGCCGGTGGCCTTTGGATCCGGAAACGCAGGCGCAGCCACCCAACATTTGCCAAGTGTTTTTCATTCGATGTCCAAAGAATGCATCGATGATGTATGATGATGTATCAAGTTTCAGTATTTGCACAGCTAGTTCACACATTTGTATGTTGTGTCGTGTGATTGTTCTGTGTCAAAGCACATGCACCATGTTAAAGACCTTCAGGTGCTGATTGCAACGCAGTGGCAGCCATTACAAAACATGAGATAGTATGATAGGTGGAAACAATTTCTGCACTGACCAGCGCGTCAAACGACGGCCATGCTTTACGGGGCTCATGTACAAAGTACACTCCCAAAGTTACCGTAGTCAGCAGCATTGATCGCAAGATAGATTTGCATCCCGTTACACATAATCTAGCAGCCTAGCCGAAGACAGAGGATGCACATTTACCAAATTAGTTGGACTTACTGGACTCATCTTCTTTCCCCAGATAGCGACAGCTATGGGGTTCTTACTTCAAATATAAATGAGCTGGCTGTGCGCGTTTTCGAGACAGGGTGCCGGTGCCGGGTGCTGGTGCTGCTGGTGCTGGTGCTGTGAGCTGGCTGTGCGTTGCTTTAAATTCAGCTCTAGGGTTTAAAGGTACCTTCAAAAATTGAGGTGGGTGTACGCCCCACCCCACACTTGAAAAAGAAGCCAAGACAGTTCACCAGGTCTGGAAGTACATGTTGAAACTCAATGAAGCGCACCTCCAGCACCTTGGGCAGCTTCATAGAAACGAGGGAGAACCATTCTTGAAAAGCACCACACTGTGTGCCACACGGCTGTTTTCACATGTGAGGCACCCGTTTCATGGCACAGTCATCACTTTTTCGTCCGCCAGCTCAGTGCTCTTGGTGTGCCTTGGAAGCTACATGTTTGGAGCCGTGCGAGGCATTTTCTGCCATCACGGAATCTCCCCTTCGGATCTTTTGGAAGAGCTGCCAAGGCAGGCCAAATAGAATGAACACTTTATTTATATATATACGCTTTATACTTGATATAAACTGTGCTATAGAATACCTATTATTTGCTGCTAGGCAAGCATGCATTCAGAATCAACGGCGTTTCACAGCTATGTTTAACTCCCCCTTGGAGCTGAGAATATTTTTGAAGGGCAGTTGGTTCATGTTGGTTCTACCATATCCGAGCCTGCGAAGGCCATGGGTTGTGAAGACTTGAACGACCAGGCCATGAGTTAAGTTGAGAATGTTGATAGATCAAACGAGAAGAGCGAACGGATATGAAGCGCCTTCAAAATCTGCGATGATTACGATTGCACAAGAGAGTTTCATTGAAATATGCTGGAATTCTTCAACCCCCGACAAACCACAAAAGACGATACAACAAGGTTTCAACACATTGGGAGACGATAGGGGGCAAGCAGGTTTGACAGTGCAATAGCCGCACATAATAAAGTTCGACTGCACTTCATATGTCATTTCAATTTCAGTCTTTTGCAGCAACAAGGTGGTTTCCAACAGTAACATTTGTAGATATCCCACAAGTGTTTGCATGTATGTAAGTGGGGATGTGATGGATGTGATGTGATGTGATGTAATGAAATGTAATGCAATTATATAAATTAGACTGTATATATTATATATTATATATATTGTAATTATGCATTTGTATGCAGATATCATCAGATATGCCACATAAAAAAGAAAGAAACCTTACAACGACCTCAGCAATGAAGTTGTATAATGACCGAACACCCAGTTTAGTAACTAGGAGCAGTTCCCAAAGTACCTACAGTGCATTGGACAAAGAACCGATAACAAGGGATGACATTGACATCACATGTTTTGACAGGGGCATGTTGATTCAGGGATAACTGCTGGCCGTGTGTTGTACTTCTCGATTTGGAGCTGGACGGTGCATCCATCTGAGGGCATTATAGAAATCAAGTTTCTTGCTGTTTCTCCTTCGCTTCGGCTTTTGCTGATCGAAGTACTGCCAAGTAAAAGGTTACATTGCTAAGATGCAGCCTCCTCATGAGCAGCATGGCATCCTGGTCTGTTTTGTGCCCCTTGGTGATGATGATGGTTGCAGATGGATTTTTTTTGAACCCCTTTGCCATGATTGTTGATATGAAAGCGTCTATTTCCCAATGTCCTTTGGCAGTGGTGGCGGGTGGATCATGGCCGAGGATACCGTGTTCTTCTCAAGTTCTGGTGGCAATCGAAACTTCTTGTTCCTAGTAGCAAGAATGCTCCTAGTAGCGATGCCAGGAGCTAGTAGCGACGCCCTTGTTCCTAGTAGCTTCTTGTTCCTAGTAAGGCCAGGAGCTACTAGTAGCAGCGTCTTGCTCCTAGTAGCGATGCCAGTATTGTCCTTGTTCCTAGTAGTGAATCATTGTGCGATTTTGTCCCACCAAGTTCCTGGTCCACCAAGAAGTGTCTTGAAAAACACCGCCGCTATTGATGCCTCGATGCCACAATATTGATGCAGCCATCCAAATATTGTTTTTGTAGTGTTGCGATGCATTCGATTCAACTAGAAGGGTTGGGGCTTCAAGCCATACTGCAAAATGATGCCAGCTTCACCAACATGGCCAGCTACCTTCCAAGGTGCAAAACTCTCTCGGCTTGGTTGTGTTGTTGACAGGTTAAGTCCTTCCGACTGAGAAATCGCGTACATGCGAGAAACTCAGCATTCTGCATCAAGCCTGTTGTAGTCAGACATCGATGACATCCGGAGCTTGGGAAATGCAATGAACTCTCTACAGTTTGTGGCTGAAGGTCCTAGTCCTTATATAAACACAGAATGTAAGTACTGTGGCAATATGTGGCAATAGAATCTGGCATTTATCATCATTTATCAAGGATAATGCTGCCGTTTCACCTAAGCATGCCTCAGACCTGCAATGTTGGCAATGCTTGCAGTGCAGAGAGAGATCGAAGGTTCCAGATTTTCCAAGGTCTATGGGCACTCATCGAGACATTTTGCACAGTATGAAGATGGAGTCTTGTGAGCCATGTCGAATCTTGAAGATACTTGATGTAATGTCGTTTTGCACCCTGATGCATGGCATCTGGAATTGAGCAGTCCCAAATGTGCACAGCCAGCAGCTGCGAACTCATGCGCTTCATGAGTTTTTTTAGGTACGTAAACCACTACCATGGCACTGATGGCGGGCAATCTGAACGAGCTCCACTATTCCTGATTCATGACGGCAAGGCCAGTTGCTGCAAAAGCAATGTGCAGAGGATACAGGCAAGAGCCCAGGCCCCCAATGGCCCAAGACAGAGCGCATTTGAAGGTTCACTGCTGTTTGAAAACATCAACATTTGTTTTTGCAACATTTTCCGTGCCAGGATATTGCTAAGAGGCAAGTGGAAATCTACTCTGGCCCAACACGGTCGTAGAAGCCATGTTCGGTGAGACTCTGATTTTCAGTCCGTGCATTCTAAACTCGCGGCTGGGTTTTGAGAATGCACATTGCTGCACGCACATAACACGCATAACCACAATTTCTTTGTCATTTTGTATTTCTTTTTGGCCAGCTCCACGGCCCAGTTTGTCTGACACGGGCTTTCAGAGACAATGACCCTGCGAAGCAGTGTCATGCAGATTTTCCCGGATCCGGGCGTGTCCCAGGGACCAGGGATGAGCCAGTGGGACCAACCGCCAAAACGCGACCCAATTCATGCCGAGTCGTTCAGGTAAGCATGGCTCACTGGCTCCCAGTTTCACCAAATTCTTTAGCGTCAATTGTCTTCCGCTATGTGTTGAGTAAATATTCACTGTGTGCCAGATAATACTCAGCCATGGCTATGACCCCCCAAACTTGAGACATGCATGTTGCTTGCTACCTGTACTGATGGCTCCAGCTCGTACTTGCATGTCGTAATCGCTCAACTGACACAAGAACCAGAACCTTGTTTGCTTCTGAGGGCAGGCTCCAACCTTATTGTTGACCGGGCACAGTCAAGAGAAGCCTCAAGGGAGAAGCCAAAAAAAGAGTCGAGAGGGGCATGCCTGGCTGCCTGGCACAGTTTCTTGGTCGTCCAGGGAGTCCAGTGCCGCTGTTTTTATCTTCAGGTACTGCAACTCAAGAAACATAAACAATCATAAACATACCGTTTTTTGGCCACGTAACCAGCGGTGTAACCTCGCAGCCCACATGGTGGAGACGCGAGGCTTGGGCAGCAGTTGAAAATAGTTGAACTACGTTGAACATAATGATGCAAGGCAGCAGCCACATTTAGTATCATCTAGCATCATTTAACCAGTTCTGTGATTTTCCATTGCTATATAATGTGTGCTATGTAGGTATACACATTGCAAGGTCGTGCTGGTCTTATAGTCTTATATTGAACATATTGAAAGTCATTTCGGAGGGGTGATCGAATGCGGCTTTTATAGAGTTTTGGGTATTTATTTCACATCAGGCAAAACCATGCTTTACCTTCTTTTTTGTCTCTTCTTCATGTTATAGTGAACATGGTTTAGAGGTGTCTATGTTTCGATTTTATAGGCTTTGATGTTTGGTTGGAATGCAGTGTATAGAGGTGTATATGCGCATGATTTCATTTTATAGAGATGTGACATGATGTGAACGCATCTTGGCTGGTTCCGCAAAAGTCAGTGCATTTTTGGCTGCGTGTAGCGGCAAGCTAGCCCATGAAGACCAGGAAAAGGAAGTGACAAAACAAACACACACACACACACACTTAGGATAGGGTGTACTGAACTGAAAGCGGTGCCACACGCCGGCCTAGGTTACCAATTCCTAAGAGTACAGGTAAGGAAACCTGAAAAGGAAGTGGAGGTCCATCAAGTTCAGCGTGGCCATCAACTCTAAAGGAACCTTCGAACGACCGAGCGACAGAGTGACGTCGTCCGAAACCAAAGCCCTATGCGTGACTGCCGAGAGCAAACCGGTGCAAAGGCTGGATTTCTTGTTTTAGGTACAAGCAGGGCCCGGAGATTGGAGTAGTTATCACAGCAGGTACAGGAAACTGGCCAAGTTTCCCTTCCCACTCTCGCCCACAGCTTCGTTGCGTGTGGTAGGACGAGAGTGCCACACGCCCCTGCTACACAAGGAAAACAACTGTGAAGCTAAAACAATCCGAAAGGATCCCTATGATTCCAAGGGTTACACAACCACGCCTCCCCGAGGGGAGGCAAGATTTTTAAGCTCCGCGCCATAGGTGGCGTGAGACTCTTCCTCCCCAAGTAGTG